ACCATCATCCTCCAAAATACCATGCATAATTAAGCAAGTTAAATCTAGGTAGTTGAGATTTTATCAAGTAATACTCGCGATATAAATGCACTTTTATTTTCCTTTTGATTGGCCTAGAAAATTTCATTTATTTATTTATCCAAGTGTACTCCAAACGCATTTACTATATTTAAAAGCCTAAGTGCGGAGTATCTCAAACACTAGAACCCATGAAAATAATTAACCTTGGGATTGCATTGTTCCAAATTCTTTTGAAAGTTGCACCTTTTGATCCTATAATTCATGTTCCTCTACCCCCACTAATTCACGTGACTTAGTTGCCACCTAACCTTCCATGTTTCTCCTCGACTACCCTACACCAGGTGCTCACTTTCCAACCGGTTATTATTTCCCCTCACAATTTTTTTTATTAACCAGTTAATTATTTAATTATGCCACATGCACTTCTATTTATAACTCCATCCCACTTTGATTTATTCATCTATATCCCAACAACCTATTGGTATTCACTATGAAAGTCCCTACTTGTCCTCATGCGGCAAGAGCATGGATTTTATCTAGATTGGGTTACCGTCATCAATTACAGATTTCGCAGATTGGTGGGTGCTAGGTTTTTTCCCCAAAGTTAGTCCCCTTAATTAATGGATTAACTACTAAAGTTGATTTTTAAACTTAAAAATTTTTTTGATTTAATCTTTAAAATTCAAAAATTTGACTATAAATTAAACTGTTATTGATGCACTATAATTAATATAATTTTAGGTCCCACAATTTATAAATAATATCATTGTAATCCTTTATTTAAGCGGGTAGTTATCTTCAGTAATTTTTTTTACATTGTCAAGTGCCTCACGTAATTAAGCACATCAACTTCTTCACCCGTAAATTAGAAACAAAGCTCAGGGCATGAGGCCCATATGGGACATATCCCATTATTCCATTGGGCATTATATAAACTACTTTTGTTTGGGCCGATGAATAAACACATCACTTGATTTAGAATTAGAAGTGGGTATGGGCATGGTTTATGTAGCTGAAGATGGGAACCAGAAGTGCATGCTGAGGACAGAAACGGGTATTACAGAGTTTGAAGAGAACTCCAAATATATTCTTAAATTTTATGTTGGTCCTTGTCAAGTTTTAGGAGGAAGACTCAGAACATTGACAGAAAAGTTCCAACGAGTCGTTGTTCCCTAGGAATCCTAGACGATCGGCAGCTACAAATATTACAGGACAATAAGATGTCACGGAAACCCATGATAGATACTTTTTCTTCTTGTGTTTTGGGTAGTCTAAAGAATGATTGAGATCCAATATATATGCAATCATCTTGCCTACCCTGAATCCCGCGTTTTGTCGAGGACACGGAGAACAGCTATCATCCATCTCAAAATCTATCCTCAGTTCATCGTAAATTCTCTGACAAATGGATTGGGCAGCCCATGCTTGGTTGAAATTCTCAGTTTGTGCTTTGTACAATGTGCTGTCTTGAAGGGCACAGAGATATAGATGCCCAAAGAGAGGGTTTCTTCTTCTGGTCATATGTTGTCCCTTGTAGGCCATAGATGTCCCTTTAGTTCAACAGAGGAGAACTGATCAACTCAAACAAACCTCAAAGTCATGCGCTTTCCCAGTTGTGGAAGTGTTAGAGTAATTGAACAAATCTCATAATTTATTTGTTTTTTAAAACTGAGACTCACCATTGCTCAATGTCATGAAAATGCACTGTCTAACCGAAATACAAAATAGAAATTGAAACCTAATAAGTCAAATACAACCCAAACAGAAATCAGAACATGAGACGTTGTAGCTGCTTGTAATTCTTCAAATTTTTACAATATTGAACAATGGCATCCCTACAATCTCTAGGTTTTGATAACCAATTTGTATAAGAAAACACACAATCTATTTTTTATTTTTAAGTCATAGAAAGTATTTAGTCTGGATAGACTCCAATAATTGAACTTTAATCATAGAAGCTGTCTAAAACACCTTGATATTCCTCCAGTACCATACAAACCAAGCACCAACCAAAAAAATAAGAGCTCCCAACTCCTTCAGACTTCCCCCACCTATTCCATACACCATAAACTCCACCAAACCAAATATATCATTTGGTAGGAAACTCCACAAACCCCACCAACCCAAAACCTTCATGAAGACTATCCACACCCTTTTACACTCACAAAAAATATGATGCAATTGCTCTACCCCCTCATGACAAAACCCGCATCCAACATCCTCTCCTATCAAAACAATCCCTCTCTTACATAATTTCTCCTTTGTGGCCAACCTATTAAAAAATAATCTCCACCCAAAAACACTTAATTTACACTATAAATATTATTATTTTTTATAATTAATATTTTTTAAATTTTTTACTTTTTATTAA